AAAGATTTTTTTCATGGGAAATTGATATACTTTTTTTTTTTTTTTTACTTCAGAAAAACATGCACTGATAATCATACAAAATAAGTCCAGGACTGTGTATTAAGATAGTAAACAAGGGCAATTGTTTTATTCATCAATTTTTGATTTCATGTTGACTTTACAGTCATCTGTGATGCAAAACACTCATGCACAACCTCCTTTCATATCTGCCCATGAATAAACTGTCATACAGTCATGCAAGCAGTCAGTGTTTTGTCACATATATCTTCATAATTACATAATACATGTCACAGCTCCTTAATTTCTGCCTGGATTCTGATGGTTTTGTTGGTGTACGGGTTTGATGGCTTTAGCAGCGTGAACAGCCACTGATGTCTCTGCAGGGTCTCAGTCTGCGCGCACGCGCGTGTGTGTTTGACAGGCAGGGGGCCTCCATAAGCTCCTCTCAAGAGCCCAGGCTGATCTGGCTCAGCTAACGGGACAATCCTAAGTGCTCTCTCTCCCTCCCTGACCTCCCTCCTTCACTCTCCACAGTTACTTTGCTAGTAGCAAACTAATTAAGCCGAACAAGCTGGTATCGCCGGTGCCTCTGAGGTGAGATTTACAGAATAATCCTGCGCGGAATGGCGTTCTCGCTGTGTGGCCCCGGCGTGCGGTTGTGCCGCGTGAAGCCACAGGAAGACCATTGTCCTACCGCCCGCTATAATGCTAATTTATTCCTTATTGTGCTCTGATTACTCATAAACACTCATATTGAGAGGCTTTTGTATCCAGCGGTGTCACAGCTCACTCTTTGTGGAGAGCATGTAAAGCTCTCATCTACATAATTAATCAGCACTCCAAATCCTCCTTTTCCATTGGGTTTTGTGATCTTAACACGGGACATAATCAGGGCAACATCTGTTTCGGTCTCATCAGCACAAAAGCAAGTGTTTTCAAATGTGGATGTGTCGAGAAAATGAACTTGGGTGTGTGTTTACGGTGTCACAATATTGTCATTTGGGCAGCTGACATGACATCTCACAGCAGGGACAAGCAAAGTCCTGCAGAGTGATGATACACTCCATCTTAGAGTATTATAAATGGCATTTTCTGTACTTATTTCATAATTATTATGTGTGCAGCTTGTATAACCTCATCTTTAAGGTTTTTTGGTCCTTTCACTTTTTACTCACCCTCATGTCCTTCCAAAACCATTTGACTTATATGTGGTATACAAAAGCAGGGCTCTTTTCCATATAAAAATTAAATATGGGGCTATCAAGCTCCAAAAATATCAAAAAAGCACCATAAAATGGTATTCTACATCTCCTTTCATCTCATACAATAGAAAAAGACATAAAAAGTCATTATTTGCTGAAAACCTTTCTCTAAAAAAGCTTTCTAACATGCTGACATCCATAAACAGTCAATAAAAATTGCTCACTATAAATAAATAAACTTTAACCAAATAAACAAACAAACATAAAAGTATTATTTGTTATTGCTATTGCTATTATTAAATACAAGCATAAATAATAAAACTAAATATTATTAATTAAATTATAAATATTATTATTATTATTATTATTGGTATTATTATATAAGTAAATAAATCTATTAATAAATAGTTTTTATAATCCAATCAATCAAATTCTAGTTTTCCAGTAGATTATTAAAAAAAAAATCCTCAATAAATAAATAACGCAAAATAAATAAACGAATAAACTCAACTCAACTCAACTCAAACTTTATTTATAAAGCACTTTCAACACCACGACTGGAACCAAAGTGCTGTACAGAAAAAGATAAGGGG